CCCCGCGTGGGCCGCTCCAAGCAGCCTGCTGCCCCTCTTCCCGCCCTCGGACTGCTGAGCTGGGGGTGTTTTGAGGGGTGTGGGCTCTAAGCGGTCGGGAACTTAACACTAGGCACCGGGACGTCTGGGTGTGGAGCTGGCATTGGGGGGCTTCGGAGGTGGGGCCAGTAGTGGTAGGGCAGGAATGGGGATAATATTGGGGACTGGGGTCTGGCACTGGAGGGCATGAGGGGTTGGGTACAGTGGGGCTCTGGAAACAGGCGTCTGGTACTGTGGGTCTGGTGGTGGGGGGCTCTAAGCCTTAAGGGGTGGGGGACTGGCCAAGCTGAAGCCAGCTGTTTGCAGTGGTTCTGGGGGCTGGGGCTTTCCGTGGATGGGTGACATTTTATTTGCACATTCATTATTTGTGTAACAGATATGCAAATAAAATGTTACCGGTCCACCAAAAGTAGGTGAATGTTGCCAGTCCTCAGTATAAAAAAAAAGGGGAACCACTGCACTAGTGTGCAGAGTGTAAGCTGGTGCAAGGGGGGGGGAGGGAAAAGAGAGACACCAACAATTCAAGTAAGTATCAGAGGAGTAGCCGTCTTAATCTGGATCTGCAAAAGCGGCGAGGAGTCCTGTGGCACCTTATAGACTAACTGAAATGTAAGAGCATAAGCTTTCGAGGGCAAAGACCCACTTTGTCACTTGCATCTGATGAAGTGGGTCTTTGCCCACGAAAGCTTATGCTCCTACACTTCAGTTAGTCTATAAGGTGCCACAGGACTCCTCGCCACTTCAAGTAAGGTGTACTTTAGGTCCAAAAGGCTTCCTGCCTTTTTGGAGCTCTCCATTCTCTCTTGGCTGGGTTGCTTGGGGCAGGGCCAAGGAGACTGAAACCTAAGAATGGTCTGAGATGACTTATGGACAATCTGATCCTGGGATCATCCCAGAGGGGTTTGTGGGGGTGCTTGATGTGCCATGATCTATTATCAATCCCTGCCAAGAATTACAATGGGTGTTTTGACATGGATACATATCCCATGGGGACTAGGGTGGGAACCACCCACACACTTCATGCAGGTCAATGGATGGCAATGAGATGGTAATACCAATGCCTGTAATTAATCACCCAGAGCGCTCTCAGCACTTTATTGAAGCTGGCCAGTATCACAGTCATTCTGGGCCAGCACTGGAAGGATTCTCTCAGAGCAAAGATGAAAGGTTTGCTTGGGTTTGCCCTTTCTAATTCCCCAGAACACTCCCTCCCCCCAGTGAGTGTATGTTTGGTCAAAAGTAAGACCTGATCTGGCTGGATGCAGGGCTGCTGCTATATATAGGCTTGGTCACCCCTTGAGAAACCTGAGTCTTATGAAGGTGCAAGGTTGGTAAAAAGGCAAGAGCTACCATTTGAGGAAAAAAAGGTTTATTTGAATTTTTATAAAAGGAAAGAGGTTTTGAATACATTATAAATATTCTGCCATGTGTAACCATTCAATAAATAAATAAATACTGCAATATAAACAAGTACTTTCTTCTTAAAAGCTGGTGATGGCCAGCACCCCTTTAGAACCATGAACTCTCTAATCCCACTTCTGTTCTGTAGGGTTAAATTTATGCTTTGAGGCACAAGCCAATCTACATTTCCTCTTAGCACACAGGGACCAAATGGCCCCAATTAAATACATTATTCTCCATTGATAAACAACTTTTTTTTCGCATCCCAGCCCCCCATCATTTCTTGTGTGTATGGTTGTAGTGTAATATATTACACCAGGATGGAGTTCTACAACTCTTACTTATACAAGCCTTTACACTCATTGACTCATATCCTAGAGACCTCTTTGAAGTCAGTGGAGACAATTTACACCAGCTAAACATCTGCTGGATTTTCAGTAT